AACACTTATTTTGTGAATTTTTTTTTTTTTTTTTTAAGGAGGGGGTCATAATTTTGAATGCGAACAGATAGCGCATCGGCGGCAGGAGGGATCATAATTGAGTGGCCATTGAGAGACGGAAGATAACAAAATGTTTGAGCCGATTCCTTTGTTCTGTACCCAAATTCCATCTTCAACCAACCATTCCTTCAACTAATCTATCTATTCCATTCAATTTCAACCCTTCTTCTCTAAACCTCCCTACAACCCAATTTCTTCTCACAGAATCAATGGAGGGCGCTCTCTTTCCCAATAAACCTCCTTACCCGAAACCACCTCAATCAAGCAAGCCCGTCAAATTCAGCTCCGTAACACTCCCTCAATCTCATTCTCACTCTCCACCTTCAGTCCCTCTGGACTCTCTTCTCCAGCACCTCCTTCACTTTTCTTCATCACCCACCACCACTCCCCACAACCCCAAACCAATTAATCCCCCTTCCCATCCCCTTTACATTTCTTCACAATCTACTTCAAAGCTTCAGTTAGACAACAGTGGAGAGGAAGAGGGAGCTCAATCCGGTGATGGGTCGCTTGAATTTTTGACAAGGAAGGGTATGCTTATGCTTAATTCCATAAAGGAACAGCCTTTGAACGCCTTGCCTGATTTCTTTGATTCTGTTAAGTTTGAGCTTCTTCAAATTGATATGTGTAGTCTGTTGAAGGGTTTAGACCTTTCAGGGGATTGGGGAAGAGCTCTCGTGTTGTTTCAATGGGTAGTTTCAGACATAGGCTCCCGTAATGTTAAACTAGACAATCAGATTGTTGAACTAATGGTTAGAATTCTAGGGAGAGAGTCGCAGTATGCAATTGCGTTGAAGCTGTTTGATTTAATTCACATAGAGGAATACTCGCTCGATGTTCGAGCTTATACTACCATTCTTCATGCATATTCACGGTCAGGGAAATACAAAAGGGCAATATCCATGTTTGAGAAGATGAAGGAGATGGGCCTTTCTCCTACCTTAGTCACCTATAATGTCATACTTGATGTTTATGGTAGGATGGGTCGGTCTTGGAATAAGATTTTAGGACTTTTGGATGAAATCAGAAGCAAAGGACTTAAGTTTGATGAGTTTACTTGCAGTACTGTGATATCAGCTTGTGGGAGAGAAGGATTGTTGAATGAAGCAAAAGAGTTCTTTTCTGGATTGAAGTCGCAGGGCTATGTACCCGGGACGGTAACCTACAATGCTTTACTGCAGGTGTTTGGGAAGGCAGGGGTCTACTCGGAGGCCGTAAGCATTTTGAAGGAAATGGAGGATAACAACTGCCCAGCTGACTCTGTGACATATAATGAACTTGTAGCTGCTTATGTGAGGGCTGGGTTTTACGATGAAGGGGCTGCAGTTATTGAAACAATGACGAAGAATGGTGTAAGGCCAAATGCTATCACATACACTACTCTCATCAATGCGTATGGTAAAGCTGGAAAGGAAGACAAGGGTTTGAGATTGTTCCATAGGATGAAAGAATCGGGTTGTGTCCCTAATGTATGTACTTATAATGCAGTGGTTGGGATGTTAGGGAAGAAGTCACGATCTGATGAGATGATAATGATACTCTGTGACATGAAAGAAAGTGGTTGTTTCCCTAACCGTATTACATGGAATACAATGCTTGCCATGTGTGGTAATAAGGGAATGCACAAGTATGTCAATCGAGTCTTTCGGGAGATGAAGAACTGTGGTTTTGAGCCTGATAGAGACACATTCAACACTTTGATTAGTGCCTATGGCCGGTGTGGGGTGGATATTGATGCTACGAAAATGTACAAGGAGATGATTAGAGTAGGGTTCACACCGTGTGTTACAACTTACAATGCTCTTCTCAATGCTTTAGCTAGAAGGGGGGACTGGAAAGCAGCGGAATCCGTCATTCTAGACATGAAGAATAAGGGTTTCAGGCCTAGTGAAACCTCATACTCTTTGATGCTTCAATGTTATGCCAAGGGAGGGAATGTGAAAGGAATAGAGAAGATTGAGAAAGAAATTAGCGATGGTCATATCTATCCTAGCTGGATGCTGTTAAGAACTCTTGTTCTGGCAAACTGCAGATGTAGAGCAGTAGAGGGTATGGAGAGAGCATTTCGTGAATTACAGAAAAATGGATACAAACTTGATTTGGTTTTATTCAATTCAATGCTCTCTGTTTTTTCGAAGAACAACATGCATGAAAGGGCCCACAAGTTGCTACACATGATTCGCGAAAGTGGGTTGACACCTGATCTTGTGACCTACAACAGCTTGATGGATATGTATGCCCGAGTGGGAGAGTGTTGGAAAGCTGAAGAAATCCTCAAAGGATTACAAAAGTCCGGTGGAAAACCAGACGTCGTGTCATACAACACTGTGATAAAAGGGTTTTGCAGGAAAGGGTTGATGCAGGAGGCCATAAGAATTCTTTCAGAAATGACGACGAAAGGAATTCTGCCTTGTATTTTTACTTACAACACGTTTGTGGCAGGTTACGCCGCACAGGGAATGTTTGCCGAAATGGATGACGTTATTCACCATATGATTCAGCACAACTGCAGACCCAATGAACTCACCTTCAAGATTGTGGTGGATGGCTACTGTAAAGCAAGAAGATACAAAGAAGCCATGGACTTTGTGTCCAAAATTAAGGAGATGGACGGTTCTTTCGATGATCAGTCTATCGAGCGGTTAGCTTTTCGTGTTCGGGAGAATCTGGATTCATAACTTCACAAAGTAAGCACTTTGTATTTCAGTTTTTATTGTTTAATAACCATACCTGAAGTTAAATTTTTGTTTCATTTTAATACTTTATTCAAAATTTAACATTAAGTTTTGAAAAAAAAAATAAAAAAGTTTAGATACTATAACGGTCTAAAATTGATAGTTTAAGTACTAAACGCGTTAAGTTTTTAACGGTAGGGTACTAAAATAAAACAAAAACTAAATATTAGGCATGATTTAAAAAAAATAAAAATTTAAATACTAAAACGGATCAAAACTGATATTTAGATGGTAAATACGTAGTTTACTCTAAATTGTATACAAATGATGGATGGTTTGAATTTATTTTATTATTATTATTATTATTTTGTAGTGCCATGTGATTTGTGAACATAATTGATATGTATGTAAACCTAGAATAGCAAACTGATAAATGTAGTGGGGAAAAGTCTGTAGACCATGTGAAACTTTACGGTCAACTTTATTTTTTATTTATTTTTGATAATTTCGTATATCAAAATTAAAAGTAAACAGTAGAACGAATGATAAATTAGGCGAAAAATTAAATAGTAAACAGTTCAAATTATTTCAAAGTCAATGACAGCAACAATCAAAGCAAACTTTATTTTGATTAAAATTTTAAATCTCGAAATTAAAAAATCATTAAATTAAGTCCAAATATAGTTTTGTAAGAGTCTACGAGCACAATATTGCATACTTTTATTTTGTACTTATATTTTATGAGTAAAAAGACATCATATGTTTCTTTATTTTAAAAAAAATTAATATAATTTTTATATTAATATGATATTTCAACTTAGAAAATAAACCAAATGTAACCATTTGACCAACGTTTTACCGTTGTTGATCGTTACAATATTGATTGACAGTTTATGACGTTGATGTAGCAGTTCACAGTACTAACATGACAATTCAGGATGACAAAATTAATATGACGGATGACATGACATGTTAGCTAAATTAGTTACTCATATATGATAATATGACAGATGGACTGTCACGTCAGTACCGATGATTGTCACGATAACACTGACTGTTCAAAACACAAGAACTAAATGATCACTCATATCTTTCACATATGCATCATAGACTCTTGCCCTTGATGCACCTGGGGGTCTATACCATTACTGCTGCTGGCACGATGTCCAAAAGGCGTTTGGCACGATGCAGAGGATTTCATCCCTAATGTTATGATAGATATGCATTTTATCTTTACATGGAACAATAACTTAATAACTGTTTGGTTAATTGTAAGCTAATGTTAAGAGCTAATAAGCATTGCATCTACCAACAGCGTACAAGAACAGAATTCATCCCTAAAGAAGTATTAGCATTGCTGAATTAGATGTTTGTATTGTGAAGGAAACTAAGCAGCCTAGCGCCCTAGCCCACTGAAAAGAAAATTCATCACTCTGGATACTGCTAGGAATGATGTTGAACGAAGCAGCTCTTCCTCCTCTCCAGTCCTTCATTGATGGACCATCCACAGTTTTTTGTGTAGCAAATAAGATTAAATAACACAGATGATACATGGCCAGGATTTAAATAGCGTTCGCTATCGCGTTTTCAGTTGTGTCGCGTTTATTACGGTTACAGATATAACGGATGTCATTATGGTCACTGCGGGTATCGCGGTCGGGAATTTTTTTAAAATTCGCATAACTTACCTAAAACATAATTATAATTATAAATAGTTATTTTGAATATTGTTAGAATGTTTTCTAATCGAAAATGATATATATATATATATAGTTTAAATAGAAGACTTTAAAAATTCTAAAAATTGAAATGGGTAAAGATAAATTATCCATTATTATTCACTTACCAAAATCAACATATTATAACTTAAAACTCATAAAATTAAAAATAACCCATCATTTATTTTAATAAAACCCATTACATGATAAGTTTATAACACAAATATAATTAACTTATTGGGTCTGTTTTGATCTAAACCCAATCGATCGGTCAAACATGCTGAGTCAGTGGTTAACGTGTCACGTCAGTATTCCGTTATTGCAGTAACGATTGTTAACGTTGGTTAACATCGAATGACCATTTTGTAACAAATGATAACGTTAGTGATCTATTTATTACTTTTGAAACATTAGTCGTAAAAACAAACACTAATTCAAAAATTAATGACCATTGGCGTAGTTTAGCGTAAAAATTATTCAATCCCTAAATTCCTTTTGTTCTTCTATATCGTGCGAGAGTCGGAGGGAAGGCAGAGGCAGAAACGCAGAGGCAAAATTGGAGAAAAGTAGGGGGGGTTTGGGCTAAAATTCGTCCCTTTTCTTCTTTGTTTTTCATGTTCTTAAATTTCCTTAGCTTGCTAGCTTGATTCCTACTAAAAATAACAACAACAAAACTTACTTTGCTGCTACATGTTACACCAAAAGAAAAGCAAGAAGCGAGATAAAATAATCAGGTACTCTACTTACTTGAATATATGAACTTCTCCTCAAAGTGATTTTTTTTCTGATTTTGAGTTTGGGCAATGAAATTTGAGAGAAAATGTGAAGTTTGATTTTGAGTTTGCTGCTGACTTGGTGTAACGGAAAATAACGGGAATAGCGTTAAGTTGCGGCCGCTATTTGTGTGATACCGCTATTGGTGTGATACCGCTATAACGTTATTTGAAACCCTCTGAACATATGAACATTCTCCTGTTCAGAAAAGTTGAGGGTAATGTTCAATGTTACTTGGACTCGTGTGAATCTTGTATGTCGATATGCATTCGTCATGGATATTTATTGAAGTTTTTCCTTATATTTGAGGATTATACCTACATACCCATGTCCAAATATGCATTGGACGTGGGTACTGCAAGAACAATAAGGAATGAGAGCAACATAAATGTTTATTTTAGTTGTCCCTTCCGGGTAGATATCAACCACTTTCTTTCCAACATGCATTCACCCATGAAGTCAGCATCTGCATTATGGACAACTGAAACTTACCAAACAACTCGAAAACCCCACTATATTTGCGCCTATGTACCCACCCGACTTCTTTATTTGCACCCCGTTGATGAATGCTATAAGCATTTGCATTGCTTCCGTTAAGGCATATGATGAAGCGTTGATATTCTTTAGACTTGGTTATTGATATATAACCACTAAAGCAGGCAGTACCTCACTTTTGAATGGTAGTTATATTCAATCAACTCATTGTAGTTATGTGGTAGATGTGTCTTATTGAATAAAAGCTCAAAGAAAACGAAAGATAAAAAAGAAAAATTCAGAAGGGCATGTAGTTATAAACAGGATATCTGAGGTAAAATAACTAATATTGCTGCTTGACATTATCCATGATATAGACGGATGAAGGAAAGGTGGAAGGCCAGGGACCCTGCACCCTCTTCCCCTCGAGATTGCCTTTAATTTCTTAGTGTTTTTATATTTGAGAACTTGTGAAAAATTCATTTTGGCACCCGAAAAAAGAAAATTATTCCTTTTATCCTGGTCCCCGAATATGAAATCCTTGGATTCACCGTAGTACAAGTGCCTAAGACTTCTTATGGGCAACTCTATATCTCTTATACCGTTATGGATCTAATGTGTTCGTAAAGTGTGGAAATTTATTCCTATTTAAAAGGAAGAGATTTCTTGTAATATAGTTTATGTGAGACCTAGAATGTAGGTTGAAGGACTTCCTAAATCAGACGTTTCAGTTTTTAAAATAAAAACTGTAGTTGGAAAATGATATTTCTCTTAAATAGGTAGACACACGTGTGAAGTAAAATGTGTGTAGAAGGTTGCAATGCATAAGTGCATATAATTTGGTTTAAATACCTTTGAGTCAACATTAATAAATCGCTATGTCTGAGTCATACACAGCCTAACCTTGTTCACTCTTTATATGCTGTCTAGAGAAAATTAAAACTTCATAAATTATTTGCTTTCTGTATTACTTGTCTTTCCTTCATCATTTTCCTAATTAACCTTAAATGTATCATAGAGGTTTTTTTTAGAATGATAGATGTGAAGCATTCATTGTGTGGTTTGAAGAGTTCTTGATAAAGTATATGCATACTACGCACATGTTATACATTTATGAAAGCGAGAGATGAGTACATTTTGGAAGGTGGTCTTGCATTAGGACAGTGACAATTGATAAACCATGGTTGTTGTTTCCAGCCAAAACCTACAATAAGTGTAAGCTGCATCTTTAAGGAAAACACACTTTCCTAGAGAGCAGTGAAGATGGACATTATTTGTTAGAAAAATCTGGAGCCCTTAGTCTCAATAATGGGGTTTAAGGTCTGAGCAAAACTCTTCAAAATGTGATGGTTTTCTGTTTCAGTATGTTATTGGTGATTTGATGCATGTTTCCTTTACTTGTTTAGTTTAGGATTTTTGTATTATTTAGGAAAAAAAACCATTTTTGCAGTATAATACCCTGTAACTGGATTCAATAATCGTTTTCTCAAATGTTTGAGAAATTTGATTTTTGTGACTGATGATTTTCCTTAAATAACCGGTAACTGATTTCAGTGGTATGTGTTTCTCCGTGTTCAGTTTCCATAAGATCCCTTACATGTTCTATCAATGGATTAGTAAACATGCCTAAGTTTTGTTGCCGACATCTTGTAAAAAAACTCAATAACATATGATAGAAATGGTTGGGCTGGAGGGATATCGATACATGTAAGTTGTAGCATTGCTCATGAAAGGTAGCTTTTGTTTCGTAGACTCGGCTCTAGGTTCATGTATAAACGTGACAGTGTACTTGTCTTCTGGCAGGTCTTAAAGGACAAAAGGCGAAAATTACGAGCCTAATCACATGAATCCCCATCAACCAGTTCTCGATGTGGCTCCTCTGAATTGCGTTCCATACATGGGTCCAACTAATCCAGATATGTTTTCATCACCAACCAAAGAGAACACCGAGGCTGCAGAAGCTATTGGTCCAGCTATGATAATTCTGCCTTCACAATCAACCAGGGATGAGTTGGATACTATCTTGGCAGCTGCCAAAAATGGAGTTGCTCTGACTGGTGCTGCAGCCACAGGATCAGTTGGACCTGTTATTGGAAAAGTGGAAATCGGTGAACTGGACGATTCGTACTATTTCCGTGTCTCCCTTCCTGGGGCATCAATGGACAAAAGTAAGTTCCATTAATGTTTAAGATCAACCACTCTGCTCATGACATGATTGCTTGACTCGCTTTAAATAGAATCGTTTGCTTTCTTCATTAGATCAGAAATGCTCTAACATCCAGTGGTTGGAAATCCGTAGAAATAAAAACCATCTCTCAAAGATTGTTTTTTCCTGGATTTTTTATTGAAGCTAATCTAGTTGCCATGTTAATTGATATTGAGTTCTTTGATAGGAAAGCTTGAATCAGTATATACATATATTTCTGTCTGTTTTGTTATCGATTTCTCTGGGAAGAAAATTGAGACGTTCGAGTTTATGAGTGCAGAAGATTTCAATTGTGACATTGAACCTGATGGAAAAGTAGAAATAAAGGGGATATCAACAACCGGTGAGAAGATAGTATGCAAGAACTTGCAAATCTTTCATATGCTGACACAAAATCTATGCCGGCCGGGACCCTTCACCGTTTCATTCCAGCTACCTGGTCCGGTCAATAACCAAGAAGCCACTAGCTATTTGGCTAACGGAATGCTTGAGGCCATTGTGAAGAAGATGTAATTCACAAGTGATGAACTCAGTTAAGCTTTAAGCATCAGTTTAGAGGATGTGATGTGATGAACTTTGGAACTCTTTTCGAAATAAATTGCTCTTCCCTTTTCTCTATTGTTTCTGTTTTTATCATTTGATAGCTTATTAGAATATTAAGTAAAAATATACGGAAAACATACAGCTTGTCGTTTTTCAGATAAGTACTATGATTCAAATGCAACTGATTTCGTTAAGTCCCCTATCTATAGGGATAGGGTGTTGCTTTGTTATGTCCTTCAACTTTTAAAAGTTACAAAATGGTCCTTCAATTATATAGTATTGTTTTGTTAAGTAAGTCATCGGTTGTTAAAAGTTATAAAATGACCATTTGACTATTGATATGTACCAAATTTGTTTTTTTCGGTTAAAAATTTGATGATAGCCTAAGCTTTACGGTTAATCTACTGATTGAGATGTGATAAAATCTGATTCAAGAATATCAAACAATATATAGTCCAAATGGTTCTAGGATCAGATTTCATCATATCAAGTCAGCAAGTTGATCTTCAGCTCAGATGACTGTTAATTTTTTAACGAAAAGAACGAGTTTAGAACATATGAATAATTGAGTAACCATTTCGTAATTTTAGAAATGACCATCCAGCTCAGTTGGTAGAGCACAAGGTTCTAAACCTTGAGGTCGTGGGATCAAGTCCCACGGAGGGCATTTCATAATTTGGAGGTCTCCTACGGAAGCTGCTCTCAACCTGGTGTTGGGGGCAGCCTACTATCTTACCTCCCCCTTACCCCATACATATGGGAAAAAAAGGGACAGCCATTTCGTAATTTTTAATAGTCGGGGAACTCAACAAAGCAACGCCCTATAGTCAAGAGATTGTTTTTAACTTTCAAAAATCAATGAACTCAACAAAACAACTCCTTATAGTGGGAGATCATGTGTGCTTTACGAAATAAATAATACCTAGAATCTAATTCAGATGAGGGTATCCGTGTAAGTATATAATAGCTAAGTTAATGGTAAAGCAGTCCATGCAAATCCACCAATGTCAACATCTGGAAAAGCTAAAGAAACCGAAATACTCTCATCTTCTAAGTTGAATGTATAAACATTTTGATGATCTGGAAAAGAAGCAATGAAATAGATGGGGTTTCCTTGAAAAGCAGCAATGACGACCATAACTAAAGAAGGCAGTATCATCATCTAGGTTTCCCACCTTGTCCCATCTCTTTCCTGACAAATCCAACTTGAGAACTTCAACTTGTGTGATTTTGCTTGGATTCTCGCCGTAATCATGATAAATTATTCGTATAGCAAAAAGTTCACCACAAGATTCAACCATGTAAATCGTTTTACCCGGCCTACAATAAATGAACTTGCTACCAAAATCTACATCAAAATGGTAAAGCAAGACAATGCAACTCGGATGATTAGGAGGAGATGAGATTGCACATATATCGAATGTTCAAGGCAGTCGAGGTAAGCGGATCTTTTCCATGGTTTGTGGATTAAGCAACAGACAGTGTGAATAATCCCAATCAACTTGGAGCAACCAACCAAAAGCACATGTTGCTGTTCATGTATTCCCCGAGGAGAAGTATCCAACATGCTAAAGATGAGTTGATTGTTGGTGTCATGGAGACAAGTGAGAATAAATGATGGATGAAGGGGAAGGGCCTCCTCTACTTTCGCTAATCTTGCACTACAAACAGGAATCAAGTTTTCAGGATTTGGAAGCTGTCTTAGGCTTGACTCCTCTTCCTATGTGTACAAGGTTGGTGTAATCCAAGCGCAATTTAACATCCGTTTCGTATTATACAAATCCTTTTTAGCCAATGATAACCATATCGAGCGACTGGATAGAACAAGCCATTTCCTTGGTTGTGCAAGTTTGGAAAATATTTAGTATTGGGCATTGCACAGATACACAGCCTGTTCGACTGGCAAATATCATCTTATCTCCCAAACTGTAAACTTCCTCCCATCTATTTTCATAAAGTCTAAAAATCCTGACATACTCTCCCATGCGGCCCATGCATATCGAAATCAGTTGTCCATCAAACTCAACCAAAAAATTCTCCTGGAGTGACTCACTGGGATATTTTAGCTTCTTCATTATCTTCCAACGTTCATGGTCTTCCGTTGAAGTAAAAGGCAGCCCGATAGAAAACAGGATCACTATGAGATGAATAGAAGTTTACATTCACGCAATTATAGAAGACTGCCATTTCCATACAATTAGGCGAAGTTGGTGGAGCCGAAAGCACATTTTTGACATACTCTTCTGGGTAACATAATGATCCTTTGATGTGTGAAGGGATGAAAGAGAAAGAGTCGTACATGCAGATTCCACCCGTGGCTGGAGAAGTGAATCCTTGAACCAATCAAATCATCGGGAATCTGAGCAACGTAAGAGCCATTGTAGAAAGGGTCATAGAATTTGCACTTGGAGCTGTTACCCGACAGGTGGAAAAGAGACGGATAGTGGGATGTAGTAGAGAAATAAGGATCGGGGATGGGTGTACGTGGAGGTGGAGCTGACCTCCATGAGCGACAGACACCCAGGAAATAATCAGGCGAGACAGGATCATACTTAAAATATCATCAGGGAGGTTACAGTTACACCATTGTCTCCCTTGTTCACCTGTTTCTACCACTTGACATATCTGTTATCTTAAAAACTCCAGAAAATAAATCAAATGAAAATCCTTTTATCTGTTTTATAGAAACAATTAATGCAAAAATAAGAGGAAACCAAAAAAAACAAAGATTCAGATCATGCAACACATTTACAAAGAAATAGAAGGCTCATCGATCGAACCCCATGCAAAGATCTAAATCAGAGCTTACTTACAATCCAACCAAAATAATACTGTATTTTATTTCGACGATTGTTCTACTATCATCTTCTCCGAAAGGAGTTAAAGTGCTAAATAACCAATAATATTATGGGTAAATTATGTATTTAGTACGTAAACTATCAGATTTAGTCTGTTTTAATATCTAAACTTTTAATTTTTTTAAAACAATTATTTAACGTTTAGTTTTCATTTTTTAGTACTCTCTGTTAAAAACTTAATTCGTTTATACATAAAATATCAGTTTTGACTTGTTTAGTACCTAAACTTTTACTTTTTTTCAAACTTAACATTAAATTTGTAACGAGATACTAAAATAAACAAAAATTAAACTTTAGGTATGATTTTGATAAAAATTAAAAGTTTAGAAACTAAAAAATATCAAAAACAATAGTTTAGGTATTAAATCCATAATTTACCCAAAATTTAATATAAGATACAAACAATACAGAATATTAGATTATATCATATTCATAATACTAATAAAAATACAAAAATTAATTTTATTTTACAAGTGTTTATATGAGGAATTATAAATTTTTTATATAAATACTTGTTAAATATGTATACATTTCTGTTAATTTTAAATTATTTTATTTAAATAATTTATAAAAAATTATAATATTATTTAATCAAAAAAATAGAAAGCTTGTTCATCTATAGGCCTGTACGATGATTTAGCGGTTCAGCCGAATGGGCTTTACTCGAACATCCCTTTGCTTATACCTTCGATACGCCGACGTTTAGCACGGAAGAGCAGTTTGAGGTTCAAGTGGTTGCTCTGCATAACACGACGTCGTTCTTATGTGTATTAGACTTGACTTTGGAATCCCTTTCTGCACTTCGCGTTTATCATATTGGTAACTTTCTTCTTTTCTCCCTCTACAGTACAATGGCCACCGCCGTCATAGCTCCGGACCCGAAAACGCTCCCGCGCCCGGGTCGGGGCGGTTTTCAAGCTCATGGACTAACTGAAGAAGAGGCACGAGTTCGAGCTATCGCCGAAATCGTGAACTCCATGGTGGAACTGTCACGGAATAACCAAACGGTAGACCTGAACGCCATCAAGTCCGCCGCGTGTCGAAAATACGGTCTCGCACGCGCCCCTAAGCTGGTGGAGATGATCGCTGCACTTCCTGAGGCGGACCGTGAGTCCCTGCTCCCTAAACTCCGAGCCAAACCTGTCCGAACCGCCTCCGGAATCGCTGTGGTGGCGGTTATGTCGAAACCGCATCGGTGCCCGCATATTGCGACTACGGGTAACATCTGTGTATATTGCCCCGGTGGACCGGACTCGGATTTTGAGTATAGTACTCAGTCGTATACTGGATATGAGCCAACTAGCATGCGGGCAATTCGAGCCAGGTAAGCTTTTTCTTCTTTTTTTCCATTTTGGGGTGATTAATTACCTTAGTTTGAGGCACTGAAGTCGTTTATTTCTGTTTTTGATATTTGGACACTTCTCAAATACGAATATTTAGTTAAAATTGGAACCCTGTGTACTCATTTTTGTTCATTGAAATCAATAGGAGCTGCCTGTTAGCGATAGATTGTGTTTGAATACTAGAGGCGAATGGGATTTAATTGAATCAAGTCAAGCTCAAACGGTGAGAAGCTTGAGCTACGCTCAAAATTTGATGCTTGAAGCTTGAATCAAGCCTGATCAAGTTTTAATTTTAAAGCTTGAGCCTGCTGGCATAAGCTGTTTACCTAGTAAAAATGAACTCCATTCCTATGTTTTTTTTCAAGCTTGATTAGTTATGTTTGAGTTCAAGTTCAAATTGAAAATTCTCAATGCTAATTAAGAAAACACTCTATTAGGCTTGTGGATGACTTGATTCAATCATTACAATACTCAATTCGGTTTGCTTGATCTCTCGAGTTTGACTTGATTAAAGAGCCAATTTTTTTTCTTTTTCAAGTTGAACCCAAATAGCTTGCAATTATAAGTGTCCCATACCCACCCTAAGGGTGAAAAGCACTCTTTTGTTTCCTCAAATTGGTTTGGCGTTCTGGTTTTTGCTTGAACCAGCTTTTGAGAACCCACATGTCATGCCAAATTTAGCAGTAGTGATGTTTCATGATCTTTGACAATGAGAGAGAGAGAAGAGATTGTTGCATTTGTTCGGTTCGGTCGGATTAAGTTCTGAGGCAAAAACTTGATCTAT